AAAAAAAAAAATTATAATTCTTATAAAGGTTTGTAGGGAAAAGCAAGAAATCAGATTTATACCAGCTAAAAAAAAAAAATTAAAATTTACAATTCCTATCAAGATTCGTAGGGAAAAGCAAGAAATCAGATTAACCAGCTGAATAAAAAAAAAATTGAATTTTACAATTCTTATACAGGTTTGTAGGGAAAAGCAAGAAATCAGATTTATACCAGCTAAAAAAATTTAAAATTTACAATTCTTATCAAGGTTTGTAGGGAAAAGCAAGAAATCAGGTTAACCAGCTGAAAAATTTTAAACCTTTGAATTCCTATAAAGGTTTGTAAGGAAAAAGCAAGAAATCAAGTTAACCAGCTGAAAAAAAAATTAAAGTTTTACCATTCTTATCAAGGTTTGTGGGGAAAAGCAATAAGTCATATTTATACCACCTGAAACATGGACAAAAATTTAAAACTTTACAATTCTTATAAAGGTTTGTTGGGAAAAGCAATAATCAGATTTACACCAGCTGAAAAAAAAATTAAAACCTTAAAATTCTTATAAAGATTTGTAGGGACATATGTGTAGAATTTCACAACAGGTTTATGCATATTTATTCTGCTGATTTAGACCTGTAATTGGTTTTTTATCAGGAAGAACTCTTGGGTCACTCCGTCCTATTTATTTCAAAATCTAAAAAAATCTCTCATCTCTTTAGCTTAAAAATTCACATTTTCTTTAACTAAAACAGTTTTATCAATACTACAAACTTGCTAAACTAAACAACATATTTGACTTATACTAACAAAGTTAAACCAGCACATTTCACTCCAATCTAAATAAATTTCTACCCTATTAATTTTTCACTCTATTTCACAGCACACCTGGAGAAGAGCAAACTCGGCTTGGTGTGATGCCTAAAATTTTATTTTCACTCTTATGTGAAGGGTGAGACCACACAGATACTGTAATTTATGTTATTACAATTAGAAGCTAACTATTTTTTAATTATAATATAAGTGTTTCTTGGCTTATTAGTTTGGTTACACTGTGTTGTAAATTATTGTCTCAGTGGCTGTAAATGCATGTACAAGGCAGTGTGAGCTTTCTGTCAGGTTTGGGGAATTCTTTACAAATCCATTCTTTATAATCCATGGAAATGGATTTGTAAAGAATTTTCTTTCTTGAACTGCAAAAAGTTTTGGAGAGTCTGTAAAAAGAACAGTTTTAAGAATTGTTTACAAACCCACTTCCCACATCTCCCCATTTCTGCTGAGCTGTAAAAAGAACAATTTTAAGAAATGTTTACAAACCTATTCCCCACAATGCCTCCCTTTTTGCTAAGCTGTAAAAAGAAGACTTTTAAGAATTCTTTACAAACCCATTTCCCACATCTCCCCCTTTATGTTAAACTGTAAAATTAACACTTTTAAGAATTGTTTACAAACCCATTTCCCACATCTCCTTCTCTTTGTTAAACTGTAAAATGAACACTTTTAAGAATTTTTTACAGATCCNCCATTTCCCACATCTCCTTCTCTTTGTTAAACTGTAAAATGAACACTTTTAAGAATTTTTTACAGATCCATTTCCCACATCTCCCCCTGTTTGCTGAGCTGTAAAAGGAACAGTTTTAAGAATTCTTTACAGATCCATTTCCCACATCTCCCCCTTTTTGCTGAGCTGTAAAAGGAACAGTTTTAAGAATTCTTTACAGATCCATTTCCCACATCTCCCCTTTTTGCTGAGCTGTAAAAGGAACAGTTTTGGGAATTGTTTACAAACCCGTTTCCCGCATCTCCCCCTTTTTGCTGAGCTGTAAAAGGAACAGTTTTAAGAATTCTTTACAGATCCATTTCCCACACCTCCCCCCTTTCCCGAGCTGTGAAGATTTCTCAAAGCTCTGCACGAAGACAGTGTGGAGCCCTCTCTGCAGACCCACCTCGCTGTAGTAGCAGTCGGGGCTCTCGCGGTAGGCGGAGGCGATGCTGGCTTGCACAGCCTGGATCCAGGCCTGCCGCAGCTTCTCCGAGTCAGCCTGCAGCATGCAGCTCCTGCAACAGCAGGGAATGGGTGGGGAGAGCCAAAAATGCTGCCAGGCTGTGGGGCGAGGCTGCTCCGCTGCATCCTCAGCACGGGAATTGCAG